GTGTGTGTGTGTGTGTGTGTATATATATATATATATATATATAAAATCAGGATTATTATCATTAACGATAACAAAAACTGTCATTCATTTTCTGGATTAAAACTACTACCTAAAATAAAATATGAAACTTTTTTTTGATAAAAATTACTTGAAACAAGCTGTGTATTAAATTAAATATATACAATGAAAATATACAAAAAAATTCTAATTCAAAACATTAACAAAAACTGTAATAGTATATCAATGATACTAAAATAACACTGATGCATGAATAAATGATATATACTTTATAGTTCAGTTTATATATGTAGTTTATAATAATAATTATTATTATTATTGTTGTTGTTGTTTGTTTTTTACTTTCAAAGTCTAAACAGTTTTGTGTGTCTGCGTTTGTAGAAATCGTGGATGGAAACGCCAAGATGACTCTGGGAATGATTTGGACCATCATCCTCCGCTTCGCCATCCAGGACATCTCAGTGGAGGGTATCATTTGTTTTAGAAACAGCTCTGCTCAGCATAATCAAACATACTTTAGAGAACCAAGGCGAACAAACTTGATGACTGTTCAGTAATGGCCTGTTTCTGCTGTGTGTCTCTCTGTAGAAACCTCCGCTAAAGAAGGATTGTTGCTCTGGTGTCAGAGGAAGACGGCTCCTTACAAGAACGTCAACGTTCAGAACTTCCATATCAGGTTTGAAATGCATATTAGTGTTGATCTTTGATCTACAAGCTTTATTTGACTGATCCAGGGAGGGTTTTATGCGGTTTTGATTTGTTGATTCACCCAAAGGGGGGTTTTGCATAAAGCGGTGTTAAGAATGTATTTGAATAAACAAATGATCAATGATAGCTAAAGATGATGATTAAAAGATGGCACTTGAAACTGAAATATCTCAATTACACAGTCGCTTTGCAAGCAAAGTTCCTTTACTGTCGTTTGTTACAGTTTAACAAGTTTCCAACATGGTGACATGAATGCAGAAATAGGGGAAAGTTTATAAGCTGTGGTTTGAGTGGCGCCCCCTGCTGGTTTTAAAGGAGAGAACTAAAAGTACCTGTTTTCTCTCTCGCACTGTTTTTCTCTTTCTCCACAGCTGGAAGGATGGTCTCGCCTTCAATGCTCTGATCCACAGACACAGGCCAGAGCTCATCGATTATGACAAGCTGAGAAAGGTGAGCATCTGAAATCTGTGGAAGTCTCACTTTGTGATTGAGAAGTATCAGCGTCACCAAATATTAGTATGCAAAAACTGCCTGGATAGTAAACTATTTCTCATGAGAGTAGAATTGAATCCCAATTTGCATGCTATCCATTCTAAATCATATTTCACATTACATTACAATTTGAGCATCCCACATCTTAGTATACCATCCAGGCACGTTCTGCATACTATTTTTGATTGTACTATTTCTAATGAGAGGAGAATACCAATTTGCATACTATCCATACTAAAAAGTATGTGACAGAATTAGTGCATCCCAAATTATAGTACGTACGTCATGATTTGGTATACTATTTCTTACGAGAGGAGAATTTGCAAACTATCCATCCAAAGTAGCACAGTGAAATCAGTAAAATGATTTAATAAGCAAACATGCCAGGGGGTGATGGACGTTGTCGAACTTTGAATGAGGTATATTTTGATTCTTGTGGAAATCTGTGGATGTTTCCGCTGTTTTACAGGCTCTCTCAGATAATGTAGTGCTATAGAAAAGCTCAAATTATTGTTTGTTTCATTATGTTAACAGGACGACCCAGTGACTAATCTGAACAACGCTTTTGAAGTGGCAGAGCGATACCTCGACATCCCCAAGATGTTGGATGCAGAGGGTATGAACTGTTCTCTCGTTTCTGTGTGTGAAGTTAGTTGTGTGCTTTAGGCTGTGTGATGATGTTTCTGTGTGTGTGTGAGTGGGAGAGAGAGTGAACGAGTCGCTCTATTAAAAAGTGTGTTTTGTGCATGTCAGCACATGCCCTGTATTTCCAGGAGTTGTTCCTGCTCTCCGACACACTTAATGTCTTCTACAAACAGTGTGTCACCATGGTAACATCCCTGAGCATTATGTTGTTTCTCCCTCAAGCATGATTTCTCCGGGATCTCTGCGTCGGAGTGTGTTTTTAGTGCTATATTTGTGTGCGTGTGTGTGTGTGTGTGTGTATTGTTTTGTAACCCTGAATCATAGTTTGCATACTCTTCGTCCTCTAGAGTTAGTGATATCAGAATTGGTGCATCCCAAATATGTTGGATGCAGAGGGTATGAACTGTTCTCTCGTTTCTGTGTGTGAAGTTAGTTGTGTGCTTTAGGCTGTGTGATGATGTTTCTGTGTGTGTGTGAGTGGGAGAGAGGGTGAACGAGTCGCTCTATTAAAAAGTGTGTTTTGTGCATGTCAGCACATGCCCTGTATTTCCAGGAGTTGTTCCTGCTCTCCGACACACTTAATGTCTTCTACAAACAGTGTGTCACCATGGTAACATCCCTGAGCATTATGTTGTTTCTCCCTCAAGCATGATTTCTCCGGGATCTCTGCGTCGGAGTGTGTTTTTAGTGCTATATTTGTGTGCGTGTGTGTGTGTGTGTATTGTTTTGTAACCCTGAATCATAGTTTGCATACTCTTCGTCCTCTAGAGTTAGTGATATCAGAATTGGTGCATCCCAAACCATAGTACATCAAGAATAATATGTTAAAAGTGACTGGATTGTATGCTATTGCTGATCAGAGTAGGACTGAGTCCTGCATACTATTCAACCTAAACTGTATGTGATACTTGAATTGGTGTGTCCTAAACCATAGTATACTATCCAGACACTTTTTGCATACTATTGCTGTTTTATTTCTGAGAGGAAAACCCCATTTGCATACTATCCATCCTAAATAGTATGTGACATCATAATGTGTCTCAAATCATAGTGCATCAAAATAGTATGCTAAAAGTGTATATTTCTCAATATAATCCCATTTTGCATACTATCCATCTGAAGTAGTGTGTGACATAATTAGTGCACCCCAAATCACAGTGCCAGAAAAATAGTATGCAAAAAGTGCCTGGATGGTGTACTTTTTCTGATGAGAGGATAATTGAATCCCAAGTAACATTAGATTTGAAGAGTCCCAAATCTTAGTAGTCACACATAATATGCTAAAAGTGCCTGGATGGTATACGGTTTCTGATTAGAGGAGAACTGAGTCCCAATTACCATACTATCCAACCTAAATATTATGTGACGACAGAATTGGCACATCCTGAATCCTCGTATGCCAAATATAGTACGCAAAATAGTGATGGAAAGTCCGGCTCGGCTCCCAAATGGCTCTTCACTTAGTATCACTCGGAGCCTTCTATTTTAGCCCAATTGAGCAATTGTGAACGTTTTGTGTGTTGGAAAGCAATTTTTTATTCAGTACTTTTATAAAAGCCATATTTTTATGCACTTTTTTCGTTACAAAAAAATAGTTACTATTATTTAACATTTTAATAAAACTTTAATTGAACCCAGAACCACAGCAAACAAATCATATAAATAAAGGCAAAAGTCTAAACATTAAGACACTTTAGTCTTTAGTGTAGGTTGGCATTCAGAAAAATCAGATGCCTTAGCTTGGATGTGCTGATGCGGTTTCTCCTCTGTGATTTATTTGTCCTGTTTTTGAGAAGACTCTCTCTGAGGGGACCGATGTTGCAACAATGCTGTGTCTTCCTACCTTAACCAATGCGCTTGCGTTTAAATCCGCCTCCCCCGTCTCTCACTGTCACTCTGTGTACCTGGCCTTTACCACTACACTCGCTATCTGCGGAGCATGTGTCCCCCTTCCTTCTTTCACATAATGGTATGATCCTAGTCTATCCTCCCATGTGATTAGCCGCATGTGTATTATTTTTTTGTTGTTGTAATGAAAAAATGCATAAAAATAAGGCTTATGAAAACACTGAATAAAAAATAGCTTACCAACATAAACCATTCACAATTGCTAAACTGGGAAGGCTCCGGCTGAAGATTCAGCCTTCCCCGACGGAAGTCGGCTCTTCTCGTTCCCTATAAAGAATCGGCTCTTAGAGCCGGCTCGTTCGTGAACAACACATCACTAATGTGAAAAGTGCTTGGATGGTTCATTGTCTCCAGTGAATTGGCTGAATCTGTATCTGTACTTGCTTTTTGAGCTAATTTTATGAATATTATTCATTTGACATACTGCTTAAGCATACTATATAGCAGACAGGGAAAGCTATATTCAGGCACGGACAGTTTTAGTAGTAATGAATTTAGCTTGACACCAATGCTCACATACAAATTCAAACAGTGCGGAGCGAATGGATCTGTGGCATCAAGACACAATTCGGTGACGTGGTGCCTAAAACCTGGCAATACTGCCTTACTACATACTCAAAAGTATGTTCTTGGCCATCACCAGTGATTTGAGATTTGGCATTTGTCGTTGTGTGTGTTAACGAGTGTGTGTTTGAGTCCCGTCTGTCTCCCTGTATGTGCATGTGTGTGTATAACTTTTGTTTCCCTGCAGACATTGTGAACACAGCACGTCCAGATGAGAAAGCCATAATGACCTATGTGTCCAGTTTCTACCATGCATTTTCTGGAGCCCAGAAGGTACCCCATGACCCTTAACCCTTGACCCCTCATCACCTCCTCTTCAGCATGGCTTTTCCCATCAGTACTGGAATAACCAAAGAGGGATGCTGGTGTTTTAACCCGTCTTCCCCTGGCCTACGACTCTTTTCTCAACAGCGAATTGTCTCTTTCTCTCACTTTGCGGGTTGCCAGGGTTATAACACTGGACTCCAAACCCCATTTCCCTTTGAATGGGGAGCCCATAAAATGCATAACCATCCCCTCCTCTCTCGGTTGGGGACACACAGGCTTTGGGTTGCTTTGCTTCACTGCTGTCTCTTTTTCTCTCTCTCTTTTTCCGCTGGCTTTGCTATAGATATCGTGGGCACTCTGCGGCCGGATGAGAAGGCTATTATGACGTACGTCTCCTGTTTCTATCACGCCTTCTCAGGTGCTCAGAAGGTGAGAAACCTTTGACCCCTGACTGCTGCCCTTGAAACTCTTAAGGTGCCTTCATGCCTGGTTTCTCATCTTGGTTCGTTGTACTTTGCTGCAACAGCAAAGGACTAACAGTAAATGTTCCCTATGGCACTGTATAGCTTGTACACAACATTTTTGCACTATTGTTAATACAGCAATATTAGGTTAGCTATTTTAAAATTCTTGTATTTGCTCTCCTCACAATAATGTACACAAATGTAACCAAGTCAGATGAAAATCATTTTTATTGTGTCTGGGTTTTCCCACCCAGTTGGCTCGCCATATGGCACTGATTTGTTATGGATTAGATATTTCAAACAAACCACCAGATGGATGACTTGCTTTCATGATCCATTGTTTTATTCCAATACTCTTATACTTTGAGTCAAATATTGAGTCTTAAATGAGGAAAGAAGAATCTAGTCGTAATTATGGGAATGTCAGATTTGTAGCCAATTGGTAATCCTATTTGTAACCTGCACAAAAAACCAATCCAACTGAACCAGGTGTGAACGTGACTTGAGAGTTAAGGCCACTGTTTTGATTCATCACAGCTTTGGGCTTCACTACACCCAAACCATTGCCCTCACCTTTTTCGATATATGCACTTATTTTCTAAAATGGTTCTGCAGTCATTTAAGGTCCTTAATGGGTGTACTGGTCTATGAAAACTTTCTTTAAATGCTGCAAATGTGAATTTCATTGTTTGATGTTTCATATTTGCACTCAGTGATAAAGTTTGTAACAGTTGAGGACAGCTTTGTGTGTAAATATGAAAATCATAATGAAATTCATATTATAGCTCACATTTAAAACACTAAGTATGCTATTTTGATTCTTAGATGTTCTGTGTTATCTATCTACACAAGCATATGTATTATGTTTGTTATTAATGTTAAGCCCACTTTTACATTGGACAGTAATTTTCTGTAAGGTTTTGCTGCTGCATATGAAAGATATGTGTTTTCCATTTGAAGTGAAGCCACACACTTATAATCATAGTTGTTTAAATGTGCTTTAGCATTTTACACGAGCGTTTTGAACACTTTCTGTGTTTCAGTGTTAGTTAATGCTGTAGAGAACCCTGAAGAGATCCTCCAGTGGTGGTATATAAATTGAGAATGCAGATTTGATTTTACAAATGGCATGTGGAATTTTCGGCTAGACTACACATTTTCAAAACTAACCAATTTTGGTGTTTGCATGAAACGTCAATTAGTATAAAGGATAGCTTACAAGTGAAGTATGTAATATTGATGTTTAACTTAATTTTTATTTCATTTGGCTAGTTTTTACGCATGTTATTGTGTGTGTATAGCACATTAACTTACAACACTTGGAGTTTTGTTTCATTGTGTGCTCAATACATCATTTGCGTGTGTTTGAATGTAATTTTGAGGCACTTTTAGCTAAACCCACCAAACCAAAAAACAATAAATACTTTATAGTAAGAAATAGTTCCAAATTTCTTTCCGGTCTAAACCAAAGCAGCATATTGACATTTACTGTTTTAAACACAGATTTGTCATACTTCTTACTAGAAGTGTACTGTGTATACTGTAGTATAAACATATGGTATACACTATATATTTGTGTAGTAAACAGTGTGCTGTTCAGTGTTTTTTTTTTTTTTATGTATGTTTAGAATTTCATAATTGGAAAGATGTGGGATGTAATACAATTGTAACTGTCCTCTTCTGTGATAGGCTGAGACAGCAGCTAATCGTATTTGTAAGGTGTTGGCGGTCAATCAGGAGAACGAGCACCTGATGGAGGACTATGAAAAACTGGCCAGCGATGTGAGTTTAAGTCATTATGATTGTTGTTTGTGTGATTTAAGTAGACATAGTAATATCTAAAAGAAGATCTATTTCGAGACCAACTACCCAGAGTGTTTTACTTTTAAATGTCTCAGTTAAATGTCTCCTCTATGTTAGAGAGGAGAATGTGTTTTCTGTTGATCCTCTATTCATTTCTTTATCGCATGCTTTTTTCTTACAGCTGTTGGAGTGGATTCGTAGGACAATCCCATGGTTGGAAAACCGTGCTCCAGAGAAAACCATGACAGAAATGCAGCAGAAATTGGAAGATTTCCGCGATTACCGTCGCGTTCACAAACCACCTAAAGTTCAGGAGAAGTGTCAGCTAGAGATCAACTTCAACACATTGCAGACCAAACTTCGTCTGAGCAACCGACCAGCCTTTATGCCATCTGAGGGACGCATGGTGTCGGTAAGAAACATGTATATTACATGTACAATTCAATTTATAAGTCTTTTTGCTTTATCACTGTGATGACATTAATGACTGTTTTGTGCAGAAACGTGTTCATTCTCAACCTCTGTTGTTGAACCATTGGCAAGGCATTTGGCTGACAAGTTCTTGCTTTCCCTCTAGGACATTAATGGTGCATGGCATAAACTGGAAGGGGCCGAGAAAGGCTATGAAGAGTGGCTACTGAATGAGATCCGTCGTTTGGAGAGACTTGACCATCTTGCAGAAAAGTTCCGTCAGAAAGCAGCCATCCATGAAAGCTGGACAGATGGTATGGATCAGAAACTACACCTGAACTTATTGATGCTTTTGAAAGTTATTTACATTGATTCACCAATCGCTCTCAGTATGCAATGACAGGCTGCTCCTTGATGACAAGAGCCTCGTCAGCCAAGCAGAAGTCGTAAGGATCAGCCATGTGATCTAAAATCTATATAGATCTAAATCGATCTTGTTTGTTTGTGTGTAGGTAAGGAGGCCATGCTAACACAGAAGGACTATGAGACCGCATCTCTGTCTGAGATCAAAGCTCTCCTGAAGAAGCATGAGGCATTCGAAAGTGACCTTGCTGCCCACCAGGACAGAGTGGAGCAGATTGCTGCCATTGCACAGGAGCTCAAGTGAGAAAACAACAAAAACAACAGAGAGGGCCAATTAATCAAATACAAAATTTAGGCTGTAAGAGATGGTCGTTGGGAAAGTGTTCAAACACTTCTGTGTCTGTATTACAGTGAGCTGGACTACTACGACTCCCCGAGCGTTAATGCACGCTGTCAGAAGATCTGTGAGCAATGGGATGCTCTGGGTTCCCTCACACAGAGTCGCAGAGAATCTCTCGAGGTACGCATGCTTCCTCTGAAAAACTTTCTGCCATATTTGTACATTTTATCATGCTGAATGTGTGTGTATGTGGTCTACAGAGAACAGAGAAACAGCTGGAGTCTATTGATGAGCTGTACCTGGAGTATGCCAAGAGAGCAGCACCGTTCAACAACTGGATGGAGGGAGCCATGGAGGACCTTCAGGACATGTTCATTGTACACAATATCGAGGAGATCCAGGTACTGCAAAATGTTTTGTATTCATAAGCTTTCCATCTTGCTTCACCTTTGAAATGGAGTTCCTTGTTTCGTTGCTAGTACCTCTGGATAGTCCATTTTAGAACGAGGTGAAGGGAACAATAAAATTCTGGATGCAAGAATTCTTTCCCTAATGTCTTTCACTTTCTCTTTCTGTAGGGACTGATAACGGCTCATGACCAGTTCAAATCAACTCTTCCAGAGGCAAATAAAGAGCGGGAATCTATTCAGGCCATCCATGCTGAAGTTCAGAAAATCGCACAGTACAATGGCATCAAACTGGCTGGAAACAATCCTTACACCACCATCACCCCTCAGACCATTGACAAGAAATGGGAGAAGGTGAGATCTGTCTGTATTGTGAATGAGACATTGCTTCCTTCAGCTGTGTGGGGGTAGTTTTACATTTGTGATTGCAATTGTTGATGTTATCTCTGTCATTGTGCAGGTGCAGCAACTGGTTCCACAGCGTGATCAGGCTCTTCAGGAAGAGCTCGCACGTCAGCAGTCTAATGACCATCTCAGACGCCAGTTTGCCAACCAGGCCAACATGATTGGACCATGGATCCAAAATAAGATGGAGGTATAGTCGCCTCCATTTGTGTAGCTTGATGATCTTATAATTTCTCAAAGAAGAAATGTAATGAATGATTAATTTGTGTCTCCATGGCATGATGTTTGTAGGAGATCGGGCGGATATCAATTGAGATGAATGGAACGCTGGAAGATCAGCTGACCCACCTCCGTCAGTATGAGCAGAGCATCATTGAATACAAACCCAACATTGACCAACTGGAGGGAGACCATCAGCTCATTCAGGAAGCACTTATATTTGACAACAAATACACTGCTTATACTATGGAGGTATGCATATGCACATACACTAATTTACGATGTTGGCACTATTCAGGAACTCTAGATGTACTGTTTAGGTCAAGTGTGTACAATTCCTACATTAAGTTTAAGCAATTCAAAATTCAAAATCTGTTTTTTGCCCTTTTCTTCTCTGCAGCACCTTCGTGTTGGTTGGGAGCAGCTCCTTACTACAATTGCCCGCACCATTAACGAGATCGAGAACCAGATTCTGACTCGTGATGCTAAAGGCATCAGCCAGGAGCAGCTTCACGAGTACCGCACGTCCTTCAATCACTTCGACAAGGTCAGGAACTCATTTCCAATGTTTAACCCTGTGTGAAATGGACTTTACTTAAATTAGGTGAAATAAGTGTTTGTATGACCATGAAAGTCATACAAGGTTAGTGTAGTAAAAGAATAGATCACTCAAACTGTCATTTTTAATGAAAGCATTGGGCGTTTTGCATCATTGATGCCAAACCTGATGTCTTTTTGCTCCAAAATTGAAAATGTGCAAGTTTGAATGAGAATTGAGTCTTACATCTTGTTTTCCAAATAACATGCATCATAGTCATATGTTTTGAAAAGACAAGATGGTGATCATTTTTGAGTGAATTGTTCCTTTAATATGCATATAGGGCTTGTGATTTTTAAACTGTTGAGCAGTTTAAAAGAAAAGAGATTTGAGCAGCAGGCCACTAAAAATACATGACATTGCAGAGGATTAAAGTGTCCATATAAAGAAGAATATGGAAAATTTAGTCTGTGTTGTTTATGTCAAGGTGAATGGCTGTGTTTAATTTCAGTGTGACTGATGCATGATAAAAATGGACCTCGGTTTAAAATTTTGGTTAGGCTTGTTTTAATATTTGTTCCATTGCTCCATTTTCTCCACTTACTCTGGCACTAATGGGAAGGAAAACGTCTGAAATATACTGTGCGTCAAACACCTCTGACCTGAAATGTGCCACCTGCAGCCAATATGTAAATATAGTCTAGTGGATGTGAAGTAATGAGGGGGTTTTATGTTAGAGTGGAGAAGTTTAGCTACGGTAAAGGAGAGAAAATGATAAAGTGCTTTCATAATGGCTCTGTAATATCATGATCTGAATGTTCTGTCTGATATCCATAAAAAACCAGGTCACTCACTGTCATAAGCGTGTTTCATTATACTTGTTTAGCCAACAGCCCATGTGTCTGACATCCACAATGTTTTGTCTCCATCTTTTTTTTGTCATGCCACTGCCTCCATCCCACCCGTGCTATGTCATTGTGTATCGGTATCATCAATCCTAATCCGCATGCTCTGATTGGTTCATCCACTGCGACCTCTTGCGTGATTGGCTTGCCACAGGACCACAGTGGTGTCTTACAAGCGGAGGAGTTCAAGGCTTGTTTGATCAGTCTGGGTTACGACGTAGAAAACGACAAGCAGGTATGAGCACGCCCAGAGAAGAAAGGGTTACAATGGCTGCCGTGTGTGTGTGTGTGTGTGTGTGTGTGTGTGTGTGTGTGTGTGTGTGTGTGTGTGTGTGTGTGTGTGTGCGTGCACGCCGCTTATTCCATCACTCACTAACTCCCTCACTCACCTGTTGTGCTGCTGCTTGAAATGGTGCCCTCTGCAGGTCAGCTAAGGTTTTGCTTTCATGTTTTATGTTTCTCACTGCTTCCTTTTTCTTTCTTTTTTTACTTGTCCTTGTTATAACTTCCCTCTTTCTCTTACTTGTCTTCTGTACAAACTCATTCTGATTCCTATATCAAACTCTTCTGTCTGCATACGACCTCTTCATCTCCCAAAATTCTCTTGCTTTCCACATGCATCCTTCCTGTTTCTTTTCTCATCCTTCCCTTTGCGAACTGTAGAAGCGCACGGGGATAATGGACAGCGACGATTTCCGCGCACTGCTCATTTCCACTGGGAACAGCCTGGTACTGCTACCTCCTTTCTCAATCTACAGCAACAGTTTCTCCTGAACTCCTGCTTTTGCTTGCTGTTAAAAAAAAAGAATCTTTTGTCGGATATCGTTGATTACTTTTTATATATTTTTTTAATCTATATTTTACGTTAAGTAAAAATTTAAATGATTACTGAATAGATTCTAATAGACCAGGGGTGGCTAACTTTGGTCCTGGAGAGCCACAGTCCTGCAGAGTTTCGCTTTACCCCTAATCAAACAGACCTGAACAAGCTAATCAAGGTCTAAGCGTTACTAGAAAGCTACAGAAAGAGTTTATCAAGGTTGAAGTAAAACTCTGCAGGACTGTGGCTGTCCAGAACCAAAGTTGGCCACCCTGTAACAGACCACAGTCAAGCACCTTAGATGAAGAATTAATTCGGCTCAAATGAAAACGGGCTGGGGGGATAGATGTAAAGTTAGCATTCAGTGAGTTTACTATTCAGGTGACCATTGAAGTCTTAATCAACGCATAGACCCAACTGTACACCAATTTCTTACAGCCTTGTTTTCGTTTGCGTCAAATATGGTGTTTAACGTTGATTCTCATGACTGTCCTCCTGGTTTTTCTGGGTTAACCTCTAACCTCTGTTCTTCAGGGTGATGCCGAATTTGGTCGTATCATGGGTATTGTTGACCCCAACAACAGTGGAGCAGTGACCTTCCAGGCTTTCATCGACTTCATGTCAAGGGAAACAACCGACACAGACACTGCAGACCAGGTCATCGCCTCATTTAAGATCCTAGCCGGAGACAAGGTATAAATGTGCACATCTGGATGTCCCTCCAAGAGTGTCTTGTGTTATGAGACTTCAACGCATCTCTTGCCTATTCTCCTTTTCAGAACTACATCACAGCCGAGGAGTTGAGGCGTGAGCTTCCTCCTGACCAGGCAGAGTACTGCATTGCCCGAATGGCACCATACACGGGCCCCGACGCGGTTCCGGGCGCTCTTGACTACATGTCCTTCTCCACCGCCCTGTATGGGGAGAGCGACCTCTAAGGGCCAACTCCAGAACTCCGGAGCAGTTCTCTCTCCTGCATCGGTGCTGATCTTCTCACAGACTAGATAGATGAGAGCGCTGGATGGAGCCGCATCTATCTTTCTCTCAACCATCCAGTCCTTAAAGAGATCAGTGCTCCTGAGGAAGAGGAAGATATTTAAGAGTGTTGGAAATGGGACTTCATAGCACACCTGAGGGGGAGGGGGGATAGATGTTTGGGGGAAGGAGGGTACCATGGCATTGTGGGAAGAGCAAATAACTGTTGATGAAGCTTGCCACGCATTGAGGGATAGCCTTTTGGATTCCGTGTTAAACATGTCGGTCTTGGAGAGCTTAAGAAAAGATGTAGGATAAAAGGAAAGAGAAAAGTTTAATATTGCAGGTTCGGTGTCAAGGGAAGTGGGTGTGTGGTTTTGGACTGTAGCCACAGCTCAGGTTCTTTAATCTTCCGTTTCCTCTTAAAATGACATGCGTAGTATGAAAGGACTTGATGGTGTTTTTCCAGCTTTCAAGTGATTTCTCACCAGCTGATGTTGAGCCGTTGGGCTCATTAAATTAGAAAAAATATTAATTATTATTAAATCTACTAGGTTGTTCTGTGATGGAACTAAAGAGAGCTTAAAGAATCAGCTTTGGCTTCAGTCTATGCCTAAACACTTAACCTGCACCCTCTACCCAGGTGGGGAGGGCACAAGCTTTTCCAGTTAACATGCTGTTTTTCTTTGTTTTAATTATGTTGTTTTCTTCCTAGAGTTGGTGGGGTGGGAGGTTTGGTTTGGGGTTGGAATATGTTATTTGGCATATAGCAAGGCTGTATATCGTAGGAAAATGGACAGAATGAAGTGTTTTGATAGGGAATTTGTGACATGCCCTCTTAACCCATTTTGCTGGATCGGTGGAACTCTTTGAAAATCCAACCTCAGCTTTTTCCTCCCCTTTTTATTTCTTTCCTCCCAAGCAATTGAGTTAGCGGGTTTCTACGCTGTACATACTTATTTTCCAGTACACAGAACTCCTGGGACTACCCATGGCGGTCACACTGGGCTTCAGGTCATAAGCAAAGATTATAAAATGAGCAGTTTCACCCCTGCGGAGTACTGTAGGCAGGCTTGGGTAGCTACAGGTTTGTTTTTAAGGGGTTGAAGAATGAAGCTACAAAAATACCCAGTCGATTTGTTGTTTTCCTTCCCCGATCAACCATACAGCATTCTCTTATTGACTCCCTGACTCAAGTAGACATGTCCCTTAAGGATTTATTAACTGAAAATAATGTCCATCTGCCATCCATCTCTAATCATTTCTCAGATATTACTAAATGTCCATGTGAGAGCTTCAGTGGTGATGTGAGCAGCATAGCCTTGTAGTGACCCTCCACTAGAGCCTATGACTACACAGCTGCTGAATCAACAGTGGAAAAGAGAATTTTATAGTCAGAAATAAGTACAAATGTGCCTGGTAGTTGCAGGTTGCTCTCTCTCCCACTCATTTCCCCTTTCCTTTTGTTGTGCACTCGTTTTTCTCTTTCTACAGGGAGGGGCAGGGACCCAATGTACAGCTCTGGAGGTTGGGGGAAGGAGTGGGAGAGCTGAAGTCTTAATGAACATTCCATTATGTCTTAATTAAAATTAAATTACTGTCTAACAAATCTATGCAATCATGTATCCAATACCAACCATGCTCTGTAATGAACGGCGGGGGTGATTTGCAATCGGAAGTGTTGAATTCAAGTGAGAACAAATTAAGGGTAGAGGGAGGGAAAAGGGTTGGTCAGATGGGCTTCATAAGATTTGAACAGACTTGGACCAAAAGCCTCCCCTTACGTCTGCAAAGTTGAATAAAAGCATTTGGAATTCTGATTTATTTTTCTTTTGTACTCTTTAATATCAAGCGTTATCTGCTGTACTGGAAATTTGCAAAAACTGCTTTCTGTCTCGAGATGAAAAGTAAATTTCACATGCACACATAAAGTTTCCTTATAAAATATTACCACTTTGAATTATTTGTATGTGTCCCTATTTGATTTTGTCTCTGGAGCTTTTTTTAATTTTTTTAACCCTATTCAAAGTTTATAAATGAATGCATTAATGACGTTCTGTCTGTAAGTCCTATCAACAACATTGGTGACAAAATATTGATTAGCAATGATTATTTTATCTTGAGAGAGAGACAGATTTATTGTACAGGGGGGGGGGGGGGGGGAATAAGGTTGGGAAGATGGGCTTCAGAAGTTTTGAATGGACTTGGACCAAAAGCCTGCTCTTACGTCTGCAAAGTTGAATAAAAGCATTTGGAATTCTGATTTATTTTTCTTTTGTACTCTTTAATATCAAACGTTATCTGCTGTACTGGAAATTTGCAAAAAAAATGCTTTCTGTCTGAAGATAAGTGAATTTCACATGCACACATAAAGTTTCCTTATAAAATATTACCACTTTGAATTATTTGTATGTGTCCCTATTTGATTTTGTCTCTGGAGCTTTTTTTAATTTTTTTAACCCTATTCAAAGTTTATAAATGAATGCATTAATGACGTTCTGTCTGTAAGTCCTATCAACAACATTGGTGACAAAATATTGATTAGCAATGATTATTTTATCTTGAGAGAGAGACAGATTTATTGTATTACTGTAGGCCTATTAGTGTAATTTTTGTCCTCCTCAAAATAACTTTTTTTCCCCCTGTGGTAATCTGCATTATGCCTCACACGTTGTGGATGGTGCTTAATTTGAGGGCTGTTGAAACATTGAAATTATTTTAAGAAAGCTCAAATTAGTCAGATACTACATGTACTATTACATTTTTATGTGCTATTATATTTAAATAAAAACTTTAAAAAACAGTTAAAAGCCACTCTAATAAGCAGTTTAGACAGGTGAGGTCTCTCAATAACCAATAGAGTTAACTTACCATCCTCCTAGCCGTCCTGAGGAGGAGTTCCTGTGTGAAAATGTGTAGTCAGCACAGTCGGTTGTGTTGAGCTCCTCAAACAACATTCGTGAAATATTACAGTAGACATCGTTTTTAATGTTTTACGGTTAATTATTTTGGTCGAAATAGGTCGTTTTTATCGCCTGTCTGTTGGTTGTCCTCGTCGAAAACGAACGGTTAGGCTGAGTAAATGCGGGATTTTTTTCTGCTGTCTTCAACCTCTGAATCCTGGCCGTTACAGTGGTGAGGACGCGCGCCTTGTGTTTAAATTCACACGCAGGCGGGAAAAACGTGACGGTTCTCAGAGCGTGGGCTGTTGTGGCGGGAATCATGTTGGCGTTGACGTTCACCTGTCGCTTACTACTCATCTTTCTGTTGTCAGATTCAGTAAAGATGACGGACGAAAATCAGGTAAACCCCCGACTGGAGACGAAAATAAATGATTTGATCTTGCATGTGTAAAATGTATAGCTGTGTAATATTTTGTAATAACAGATGCAAGAAGATTAGGACAAATCTACTACTGAACATGTCAGATCCATAGATAAACGTATACATTTGCAGCTCGCCTAATTGTTGCCGAAAATGAACTAAAGGGAATTACATATGTAATGAGGGACATGTCATTTTATCTATTTATTTATTTATTTATTAGTAGCTCTAAAAAGTCACAAAGATTGAATATTTAACATGTAACCCAGTGAAATAAAAATGGTTTTGTGAATTTCTTAGTATGCTCCGTGTCATAAATTTCCATGTCAAAACGTGCACCTGTTAACCTGCAAAAGAAAAAAAGGCCACCTGGAAATGTGAAATGCCTGAGCACAAGCCACATAAATCTGATCAGGCTATGAAAGTTTTTGTCTAAAAGCCACACATGAATACAGATTTTTTTTCTTTATAATCACCCTGTTTTTAAAGGCCCCATATGTTAAAGACAAAAAATATTGGCATTAAATTCAAAATATGCACACCTGTCAGCAAAGTGGCACCAGATCTCTCATTCATTACTGAACCAACCACCTGAGGCCACTCAGACTGGGTATTTATTTTCATTCACAGTTATAAAATTGTTAGACATGCCTCATGTCTACAGTGCTGCCTTGTTCTCCAACAGAGACATCCTTGACTTTCCATGTTGTTTGTTACTGGCTGCACACTTGGCAGGAGCAGGTTTAAGCGCAGCCGTGTTCATGTCACTCCCAGCGTTTCATTTGCTGTTGCACATTGAAATTGGACTGTGAAGGTGTGGAACGATTCCATCCTGATGATTTTGGCAAATCAGGAAAACAAGGAAATGCATAACCTAGAGTCCAAAGTTACTTTAATACCTTGACTCTGTTATTTAAATATTATAATTTATTTTATATTCTTGCAGTTGAGACCTAAACTCTTTTTGTATGTACAGGTGCCTCTCAATAAATTAGAATGTCGTGGAAAAGTTCATTTATTTCTGTAATTCAACTCAAATTGTGAAACTCGTGTATTAAATAAATTCAATGCACACAGACTGAAGTAGTTTAAGTCTTTGGTTCTTTTAATTGTGATGATTTTGGCTCACATTTCACAAAAACCCACCAATTCACTATCTCAACAAATTAGAATACTTCATAAGACCAATAAAAAAAAATTATTTTTAGTGAATTGTTGGCCTTCTGGAAAGTATGTTCATTTACTGTACATGTACTCAATACTTGGTAGGGGGTCCTTTTGCTTTAATTACTGCCTCAATTCGGCGTGGCATGGAGGTGATCAGTTTGTGGCACTGCTGAGGTGGTATGGAAGCCCAGGTTTCTTTGACAGTGGCCTTCAGGTCATCTGCATTGTTGGGTCTGGTGTCTCTCATCTTCCTCTTGACAATACCCCAAAGATTCTCTATGGGGTTCAGGTCAGGCGAGTTTGCAGGCCAATCAAGCACAGTAACACCATGGTCATTGAACCAACTTTTGGTGCTTTTGGCAGTGTGGGCAGGTGCCAAATCCTGCTGGAAAATGAAATCAGCATCTCCATAAAGCTTGTCAGCAGAAGGAAGCATGAA